GGCGTGGTGGGTCGGTGCTCGGGTAGTTGTTGTTCAGCGTCATTGTTGAGGTAAGAGGGTCCCTGGGTGCTGAACACGGCCAGGGCTGGAAGCAGAGGTGGACTTTGATGTGCAGCCACAGTCTTGTCAGTTCTTGGTTTTAGTGTTTAAGAAGGCCACGACAGAGAAAACCAGTGAAATCCATCCTGGTTCTGTTGTTCCCTTGGCTCTCCACACAGTCCCGCAGCTGTTTGGATAAAGATATTACTGTAGCCTGATTTCCTGACTGTATATCGGAGTCCTTGATGTTTTCTCAGGGTAACTCTTTGCTTACTCATGGTTAAGGGCATCAAAACATGCTGCTGCTCCTTGTGTTGTCCTGGAGAGCGGGAAGAATTCACTATTACTCCGTGAATAGTAAGCTGCAGTTCAGAAAGCCTCAGCCAGGTTGCTTTGTCTTTGTGCCTGAGATGAAGTTCAGCCACTGCTGCCTCCGCGCAGCCCACGACGGGTATTTGGTGTGGGCCAGAAGAGAGGTGGCCCAGCACGAGCCCCAGCCGGTCCTGAGCAGGGAACCCGTGGCTGTAGGGTCAGGGAAACAGCCACAGGCAGGGGTTTTTTTTGTTTGTTTCAGAAGAAATGTTTCCTCTGGTGTTAAAATTAAAAAATTCTGGGAGTATTCCTCAGGGAAGTCTTCATTTGGGGCCAGAACAAACCCTCAAGCTCTTGTTTACCTCGTCCCCCTTCCTGGGGTCACTCTCCTGAAGGCTGGTGTAAGAGAAGGGCTTTTTCTGCCTGCTCGGTGCTATATTTAATAGCCGACAGAGTGGAGGGTAGGGATTTAATTACAGCGATGTCGCGATGCGGCTGCTGCTGTTAGACGCTGTGGGGCACTGTTGCCTGTGTGCTGCGCGGGATAAACCTGCGTGGTTTGTGTAGGATGTCCCTGCCCTGGGAAAGCTGCTTTTTGTCCTGAGGAAAACTCCGCGGTGGTGATGAGTGCGGAGCTTTGCGCTGTACCACGGAGCGGTGCCTCTTGGTGGGTTTTTTGTGGCGGAGATGGAAGAAGGCATCGAGGACACGTGGGTCTGAGGTTGTGTCTGGTCACAGCCGTCTCTCCCGCTCGCCAGCAAGGAGCTTTTGGCCGTTGTGGGGAGGGGATCCCAGCACTTGTCCTGTGACCCAGAGGTCAGATCTGTTCTGAAAACTCAGGGAAATGCAGGGACGCCTCGTCTGTCTGCCCCGGGAAAGGTCCGTGTCCTGCTGCACATCCCCAGCTACGTGACCTTAGGAGCGCTGTCCTGAAAAGCACCTTTTGGGGAGAAACCTCACCTGTTTCGCAAGCTGACACCCTCCTCTCTGTGTTTCAGCGTTGACAACAGCGAGTACATGAGGAACGGAGACTTCTTACCCACTCGCCTGCAAGCCCAGCAAGATGCTGTCAACATTGTGTGCCACTCGAAAACCCGCAGTAACCCCGAGAACAACGTGGGGCTCATCACCTTAGCCAAGTACGCCCAGGGGGAACTGGCCTCAGGGTGACACTGAGGAGTGGCTGGGGGGACCCGAGAGAGAGCGCAGGGACAAGGAACAGGGGAGTGTTGCAAAATGGAGCAGCAATAACCCAGTCTAAAACCAAACCAGTTCTTCCGGGAGGACTGCTACGAGAAAACCTGGTTCCTGACTGGTCCCTGGTTCGTTGGGCTCGCTCCTGCAACGCCAGGATGTGTTACGGAGGCTTTTCTCTCTCGGGAGCTCTCTGCCAGACCCGTCCTTGTGTGGCCTTGTGTCCCAAAGGGTGGCAAATAAGGGCTGAGCTGTCGCTGCAGCTCACAGGCAGCCCCGAGAGAGTGGTTCCTCCATTTTCCTGAAATCTGCAGGACTTCAGTGCCTCTGCGAGCTCCATCTTAGCTAGAGTCGATTAAAATTGGCCTGTGCGCTCAAGGTTGCTGGGGCAGGGGACGGAGACACACACAAACCTTCATGGAGACAGATTACTTTGGGTTTTTTAGGAAACTAGGCTAAAAGTCTGGCTCCCTGTAAGCACTGACCCACGTGCTGGCAGCTTGGCGCTGCAGGCTTAGTGCAGGGTCAGCTTTTCTTGCCCCTGTAGCAAATAAAGGGTTTTGCAAAGAAATTCTCAAAGAAGAGGTCACCACCGTAAGCGTTTTTGTGTTGCAGTAACTGTGAGGTGTTGACCACGCTCACTCCAGACACGGGCCGGATCCTTTCAAAGCTACACACGGTGCAACCCAAAGGGAAAATTACCTTTTGCACGGGGATCAGAGTTGCTCACGTAAGTGGTCTTGTTAGTTCCTCGTGAGCGAGTCTGCGCCTTTCTCTGTAATTCCTTTTGCCTTAGTGGGTCCTGTTAAGTTACCCGTCCTGTTGATGGCTCGGGAATGGGAAGTCTTGTTCTCTTAGCGTCTCTATGGCTGAACAATACTGAGCAAATCATTTTGGTTTTGCCTCAGTTTCCCTGTCTGCAAAACGCAGATGAAACCTCCTTCATAAAATCCAGTTTAAAAGCTCGGAAGTTTAATAGTCTGGTCCAGGTTTGCTTCGGAGCAACCTGGCAGCTGCTTCGCAGAAGCCCAGCTGAGCTGCACGGCCCTTCTCGCCCTGAGGAGAGCAGCGCCCAGCTGAGGAGTGTCCCTCAGGATGCGGCCACCCTTTTGTCCCGTTTTCTTCCCTTGTGCCAGACAAACTGCTCCCAGCTGAGCGAAACTGCCGGCAGAGGGGAGGGCGGCCATTGAGACGTGCCTGCTTGAGGGCAGTTTGGTGAAACTCGCTGCTGGGAAGTCTCGCCTGGAATTGAGCTTCCATTTTCCTACGCAACAGGAAGAGTCTCAGGGGTGACAACCAACCACCCCTGTTTCCTGAGAGTTGCTCCTCAAGTACGACACGACTTCTGTCTTGCAGCTGGCTTTAAAACATCGCCAAGGCAAGAACCACAAGATGCGAATCATCGCCTTCGTTGGGAGCCCTGTAGAAGATAACGAGAAAGACGTGAGTAACGACCAGTCAGAGGAAAAAATGTGGGGTCGGCTCCACACTCTGCTTTGAACTGTAAATGGGGTTTACGGTTTGTTCCTGCTCCGTATCGGGAGTAAAGCGCCGCTTCCTGCCTCCAGGATTGAATCCTGAGCGCCGCTGTTGGTTTCTGATGAGCTGAGCATGGGTAAGAGCCAAAATCCAAGCTAACGCCATGGTGTCTCCTCATTGCAGCTGGTGAAACTGGCAAAGCGTCTTAAGAAAGAGAAAGTCAACGTTGATATCATCAATTTTGGAGAAGAGGTGAGGCTTCTGCCGTGTTTCTGGCATAAGATCCAAGCCAGGATTTTGTGTCCTTTCCAGCCTGGAGCCCTTACTCAGGCGTGTGAGGATACGAACGGCTCTCTGAGCCTCAGCAGCTGCCCCAGTGAAAATGCTAATGTGGAGAGTGACGTTTCCCTCGGGAAGACACCTCTCTGTTTCACTGCGGGCGTTGCTAAATGCTTTCCGTCCTGACGGAAATAGCGGAGCTCTTGGCCATAGTGTGGAGAGACGCCGGGTTTGTGGCTGAGGGAGCCGGGCGAATCTCTGGTCCTTTCTCTTTGGCCACAGGAAGCCAACACGGACAAGCTGACCGCCTTCATTAACACCTTAAACGGCAAGGATGGCACCGGCTCCCACCTGGTGACGGTGCCGCCGGGGCCGAGCCTGGCC